TCAGACTTGTGAGGGAAGAGGGTTTTTTTTTTTTCCTTTATTTCTATCTCTGGTTCTGCATTAAGACTAAAATAATAGTTGAAATTATAGAAACTTAGAAATTAAAATTCCGTTTCCCAAACCCATGTTATAAAGAGATTCCTCCGTGTTTTCTAAATTATCTCATTTTGAGTATATTCAAAACTTGTCATCTAATTGAAGAGTACATGTTTTCCCTAAAATAACAGCCAGCTCTCAAAGTAGACTCCTAATAACAACCATATAATAAAACCTACTTCAGAATTCTTTTGTATTATAGTTTTAAAAAGTATGTCCAGTCCTCGTGTCCCATCCTAAAACTTCAAGTTTCAGATATTTTGTAGTATAGTTATTTCCATGCTCATTTTATAGCCCCTGCATCAGTATACACCGCTAGAGATTAGGCAACGTAATTGTTCATTTCCTAGAGCACCGAGAATAAGGTCTTAAATGTAAGAAGCATTTTATTATTTTTTGAGTGTGAATGCATGAAGAGACATGGAATTCTGCATCATGCTGCAGGTACTGTAACGTGCACACTCTATCATAATGAAATCTATTTGACGGTACAGGTAACACGATATGCGTACTATGTCATAATGAAATTATTCAAATTCTAAAAATATGACTTAAATTTCTATTCCCTTTATTTAGGCTGTAAAAGTTCAATTGTTATGAGAGGAAGTACGTCATAAATGCTGAGGAAATAGATAAGAAGTATATGATAAATAGAAATGTTACAGTCTGTTTTTCAGTATCCACCAACTGTTAGCTTAGAATTTGAGATGAAAACTTTTTAACCTCCTTTTAGCACCCTCTCATGTTCCATTAAATATATCTTTTCAAGCTATATATTATCCTTAGAATCCTGATTACCAGTTCTTTCTCTAGGTGGAAATTTGATATGTTAGGAACTTCCTAAAATCTATTTTTCTGTCTCTCTAGTAATAATTTGCAGCATTCAGGTAGTGAGAGAGTACCATGTTCAGTTGAGTGACTTAGAGTGACAAAATTTAACTCTTATAGTAGTATTTACAAACAAACAGTTGTAGAGTAATACAGGTCAGCATTATTGGGGATATACTATGAACAAAGGCCTTTGTTATATATATATGTTTTATATATCATGTATTTTGATATTTTTATAAAACTTGAATAATATATATACTTGCATATACAATTTATGTATTTTTATATATATAATAAAAAGGTAAAACAGAGGCTTTCACTCATATTATATCCCTAACAATACTGATATATCCCTGATCTATTATATTTAAGTGCTGAAATATATGTATTTCTCCACATGCGTTGTTATACTTACGTTTTCCTTTTTTTCTTGCCTGAAGTTTGTACTTGACTAGTCATGTCTCATTTTTTGTTTTCTTCCTCCTTCCCACTTTTTTTTTTTAATGATTTGCCCCAAACCTAATATTT